CGGAAAATAACAAACTTAGGAAAGAGGTTAAGACTTTGAAGGAGGCTCTTAATAAGAATAGTGATTCTGTATCTTCTAGAGTTACTCGTGCTAATTCTCCCATTACGGACTGTTGTGAGGAGAAGGAGCGCCTTAGGTCCGTTGTTATCGCTGGTGTCTGTGAGTCTTCCGATGATAGCGCTATTAATCGAGTTCTTCATGATGTTGATTGTGTTTAAAAAAGTTTTTCATTTCCTCAATATTGAATGTAGCCCCATTGCATTGTATCGCTTAGGGAAGCCGAGGCAGGTTACTCCCAGGCTTCTGAAAGTAGTGCTTCCAAGTAGTTTTTTTGTGTCTGACTTGCTGAAAAAGGCTCCTAGACTTAGATTCTTCCCTGTTTCCGGAGTTTTTATTAGACGCTCCCTGCCGAAAGCGGAGAGGGATCGATTAGCTGCTCTTAGAAGAGCCAAAATGAATGCTGACAACAATTATGCTTGTAGCTCTTCTTCACATTTACGTCAAGTCGTAACAGTCATGTATCTTTGCATGTAGTAGTGAGATGTTCTGCTTTGTTGATCGAAGCTCCACTCCGGTCCCGATAACATGTAGAACTAGAAGTCTCATCATTTTTGGGGAAAAAGACTTCTGTTTTATATGCCAATATCAGGTCTTTAGTGAAGAATAGGTATGCTCTTTCTTCACACCTGGCTCGCAATTTTTACTCGATTGTTGCACTTTCCGAAACCTGGCTAAATCCATCAACTGATATCCCGTCGATTCTGGGTGAGTGTTGCTATGAATATGAAATCTTGAGATGCGATCGCAAAAGCAAAAAAGGCGGAGGGGTACTACTTTTTGTTCGTAAATCCCTTCATCCTGACTTAGTTTTCAAAGAATCTGTTCTGAACGGGTATGAGATTTTGAGCTGCGATTTTATCATTGATGATTCTCCCCTCCGTATTATAGTCATTTATAGAGCCCCCAATTGTTCTAACTCAGCATCCAAACAGCTTCGTTGATGCAATTAGTGATATCGTCTCATCCAATCATTCTGCCTTATATGTGGTGACTTCAACTTACCAGATATTACATGGTCTGAAGTTCCCATTGCTTCTAGCGGTGTTTCTAAATCATTTTTGGATACTTGTTTCTCTCTCTCCTTATCTCAGTTTGTCAAAGTTAATACTCTTGGTAATCATACGTTGGACCTCATTCTTTGTAATGATGAATCCTTGGTCGGCAATGTGCTAGCTATGCCGCCGATTGGTTCTAGCGACCACGTATCTATTAGGTTTGAGGTTAGCCTTGCTAGCGCACCGTCATTGGTGGTAATGAAGCGAAATTTTAAAGATGCTAACTACGGCAACATTATCCATTATTTGGGTAGGGTTGACTGGTTTGGATCTTTGAATACAGTCGATACAGTTGACGAGAAATATGAGTTGTTCTTAGGGGTTTTGCACCACGTCATTGACTTGTTTGTGCCTCTCATTCAAGTTCCTCTCCACAAGTCCCACCTTCCTTCCTACCTCTGCTCCTTGTCAAACAGAAGACATGCCGCTTGGAAGAAAGCCATTTCTACGGGGGATCCTGAACACTGGGCCATGTTCCGATTGCTTAGTAAACGCTTTGATAAAAAGCTATGGAAGTTCAACAATAATATCGAGAAGAAAGTCATTGAAAGTGGAGATAAAGGTTCGTTTTATAAGCTCCTCAGTTCAAGACTAAAGCCAAAGGCCACCATCACCAAATTGATAGGAACTGATGGTGCTCGCAATGACTGATGAGGCAAAAGTTGAGCTGCTCGCCAATGTTGTTCGAAAAGGACGTTTGCTCCTTGTTGCCATTCCAGTTCCTCTTCTGTTGTTACCGTATCAAACCCTTGCTTTCCAGTTATGTCGGAAACCCCGTGGTTCCATGCCGATGAAATTTATAATCTGCTTTCTAAATGGCCATCTTCTTACTCGACTACGTCCGACTTTATACCTCTTCAGTTCATTAAGAAAATTGCTCATGTAATTGCTGCTCCCCTTGAACATATCTTCAATTTGAGCCTCATGAGAGCAGAGGTGCCACGCAGGTGGAGGTTGTCTTTTGTAACTCCGATACTTAGAATCCTTCCATTCAACGGAGCCCCTCAACTATCGGCCCATTAGTATTACATCGATATTCGCTCGTCTTTTCGAAAAGGTTCTAAAGAAGGGGATAGAGGCCCACCTTCAAGATTACTCCATTATCTCTCCTCACCAACATGGGTTCCAAAAAGGAAGGTCTACTATAACGGCTATGCTCTGCTCATTGAATGATTTAACTTCTTACCTAGATAAAGGCTCGCGTGCTGATGTAGTTTATCTGGATTTTTCCAAAGCTTTTGATAGAGTCCCCCATGTGAAATTACTAGATAAACTTGAAATGGTCGGCATACATCCGCGTATTATTTCTTGGATAAAAGCATTCCTTTCCGATCGTACATTTATGGTGCGGCTAAACTCAACTTGGTCTAGACCCAGACGTGTGCTCAGCGGTGTACCTCAGGGTGGAGTCCTTTCCCCAACTCTTTTCAATATTTATACGTACGAACTGCCAGGTCTTATAACTTCATGTGGGGCTAAGTGTGTGGCATTCGCTGATGATGTTAAGATCCACATGCAGATCACGACAAACAGTGACTGTAGTTCGCTACAAGCCGCTATTGATGCTGTCTCTTCTTGGTCCAAAGTATGGGATCTCCCTCTGTCTACAGAGAAAACTAAAGTCATACACCTTGGGTCTAGGAAGCATTCCAATGTAGGCCATTTTCAGTACCATATTGACGGTGGAAGTATTGGAACTGTTGATAGTGTTGTTGACTTGGGATTCATAATTACTCCGGATCTTTCTTTTGATAAACATTGTGAGCTAATTGCCGGTAAAGCCCTCAATGCTGTTTATAGGATATTCAGAGCTCTCTACTACTAGGAATCCCTCGGTTCTTCTTCGAGCCTACAAGTCTTATGTAAGGCCTGGTGGTGGAGTACGGCACCGTTGTTTTCAGTCCCCACAAACGCAAGATTATTGACAAATTGAAAAAGTTCAGAACAGTTTCACGAGAAAACTGATGATCAGGGTGATTGGATTTATTTATGACAACATTCCTTCTGCCACAGCGCGAAATGCTAATTTTGGCCTCCGTTCTCTTTGCTGGCGAAGGAAAAAGTTCGACCTCCTGACGTTCCATAAAATTCTTCAAGGCTTACATTGTCTCCATCCCAGTACCTTTTGTACCGTTCAGGCATCCACAACAAGAAGTGGTCCGTTCAAACTGCTCCTTCCTAAGTCTCGACTCAGCTGTCGTTCGCATTTCTTCGTAAATCGTGTTCACTCTCTCTACTTTTGCCCTGAACAAGAAGAAAAGCATACCTCTGAGTCTTTCCAGTTTCAAGAAGTACCTCAACGAGTACCTAGAGCCATGATGACTTCCTCGTTCCGTCTTTTTATCCTCCTTTTTTCTCATTTACCTCCTCCCCATGCTTTGTTTTTCAACTCTCTGGTTTCGCTCACCGATGTTTTAAGTGTTTTTCCTTTCTTTCATGTTTTTTATTGTTGTGCTGGAAGTTTGATTCAGTGTTTCTCAATCAGGTTTTAGCCACATGAGTTACCTCATGTAATAAATATATATATATACCTATATATATAAATTGGCGTAATAACTTCGTATAGCGAAATTTCGACCTAACTTAAGAAAAGGCGGTGAAATGGCTACAGGTGATCATATAAGCCGACGGCTGACTTGAAAACGAGCGCGGCGCGGGAATGAACCAGAATGCTCTTAACGGAATCTGAATTACAGCTTCATAGAGAACATCTCGCACCCAGCTCTGCTGTGCTTGAAATCGCTCCAGCTGTCGAGATGAAGTCTTGCAAGTGGAGGATCCGTGATATCAAAATATCACGTCTTGATGGAGAGAAGAATTTGCCAACTCCAACATCATGCATGTCCTTCTGTACATTGCTTGCTTGGCTGTCTGCCATTTCCACTCAGTAATTTACGTCTTATTATAGAGAAGGATAACAAACTCGTAACCTGTTCCAGTTCACCTGGGACGAGTTACGAGTTACCTGGAGGCACCTATGAACTACTAACCCATCAATGGCCAATTTTTTAGATCTGAATCGAAATCTCAGTTTCTCTGAAACATTTGTTAGAAGGGATATCGAGTGCCCTGATTACGAACGACATCTTTTTTTCCGACAGCTCCAATTTGCGCCGTTTCGGCGCCATTTGGCGTCCCTTTGGCGCGACAACTTTTTTTCGCCAGATTACGGTAAAAATCTGGATTAAATAGCTGTTGAATGTCTCTATAGTAAAAGATATTTACTGTTGGCGTCGGCGCTATTGGAGGCGAATGTTGAACTCCAGATCCTGAATGACAAAAATTTTTTCATCGACGAGGATTGACAAGGACATTTACTATTTTTGGCCTTCCCTGGGCCGCTCAGCGAAAATGGGCCACGGTTTTTCAGTCCACGTATGGGCTTCTATAACATGCAGAGAACCGTTTCGAAACTTCCCGCGCCCTGAACGAGTTCCTTGTAAGTCCATTAGGCATACATACTGTATACTGCGAATTCGTGTCGGCCGCACGTTGATCGGGTGGGGGGGGGTTTGCGGAGAGGGGGGATCGCCTGTTTTCAACGGACTTAGGTTTTCCTCTTGAACTATTAATCTATCGATGGAATCCTCCGTTGAAGCACTTCCATTTCAGGCGAAGTCCATGGCGGATCCCAAAATAGGGTTATTCGTGATGAGCGCTTCATCTGTTTTACCCGATAAGGTTAAGGTGGATTTAGAGGGTAAGATCCAATATGGCCGTTTTTGATGGTGATGAAGGGGAATAACTTAATAATAAAAACTACTTATTAGCCGAAAAGCGAGCAGTCACACTTGGTCTCATCACAGGCGACTTCAACTTATTTAGACTCGTTAACTAGAATGCTGTGCTACCTGCATCCCCGTTCCATGTGTATTTGCGAAAACCTTAGACGTAGTGGTTTGCCCGCCATAGCCGCACGCTCCTAAAACAACTGTAAACGATACGCACCTGGTCAACAGGGGCCTCGAAGCTCATTCGCTTCATATGCCCGTCTATCACACTGCTGCGATGGGATCCTTTCGGTGATGCGTACGATGTTCCTGCTGAGGTCGCAAGCATAAGTGAGAATGTGAAGCTCGATCAGAAGTGCTAGCCACTCAGAAATTGGTTAGATGCTATCATTGTCAATAAACTGACAAAAACAGTATATGTAATGTAATGAGCACGATTAATGCTGCCTTCTTGTTTGAATTAGAAAGTAATTATTTTTTCTATTCAAAACAGAATTTTCTGGACCTGCCCAGGAATTTGAAACCATACCGGGTCTCCTTTTTTATGTCGTACTATTCCTGTAGGTGGTGTGACTTCAGTAGGTTTTGTCGTATAAATATTCTCCGAACGGCTCACGTGCAATAGACAAGTTCAATGGAAGTTTGCCGCACTCAGAGATAGTATGTATCAATTACGCTATTTGTTCTAGTTGGATCCCTTTTAGTCTTCAAGAGGGGCGAACTTTATCATGCCAGTTAGCACATACCGTATGCAGGAACGTATAGGGTTGGGATTCAACATAAACAAAAGTGTTCACTATGCGTTAATAGCTTATGTCATAAGGGAAATACTGTCGAAACGGTATTCAAAATCTGGTAGGTTTCATAACGAACAGCTTTGCTCCGTTCAATAACTGCCGTGCAAAAATGACTTCAAGCAACAGTCCCAGCAGGGTGGGCGTGGTCGGAAACGACTGCAATCCCTCGGCCGATTCCGACCACGCCCACTTCAGCTCCCTCCCTAGCGGCTTTCCAAGGTGAGTTTTTGTTCAGTCACACTTCCTTACGTTCTTGACTAGGGGCTGAACAGCTCCGAAGTGGGAACTGGCGATGCGGAATGGCAAGCCGTATTCGACACGCCCACCCTGCTGGGACTGTTGCTTTGAGCTTTCCACTTTGGAACGGGTCAAATGATTAGTGGCAGCTCAATGGGTCAACCTGACTATATTAACAAATTTATGAGAAATGCCAGCTTCTTATGGAAACAACAGCATCTTTGGAAGGACACAAGTATCATTCAAACATAAAGTACGTCATATATGTACAGCAGATTTCAGGCATCTTTCACAACCAGATTCTGTCACGATGCTTTCCGTCTCTCAGAATTACCATTTGGAGGACTGCTAGTACAAATATTGTGTAGGAGTCCATGATGAAGGCCTCTCGACTGAGTGAGCTTAACAAGACGGTTCGTTTCGAATCCGCTCAGAGAAACATAAGACTGAACAGGTTTTTAACAGATGGTTCTTTTCGATAGGAAGGCCCTCCGCCAAGCCTGACTATGTAAAAGCTCGTTTGAGTTTGGGATATGTTTCCGAACGAAGAATTCTTAATCAAGAGAATGCTGGGTGCATTTTCCGCCAGGCTGAGGAAAGGACCAGCAATAGGACTTACTGATCTCCGGTTGAATGGAACTTCGACCGATGTAGATGATACCAGATGGGCTCGACTGCATTTTGCAACAATATACTCTCTGTGGCCCATGTATCGAGTAAAACAGAACGGGCTTCTGCTACTTTGTGTATGATCTTGCTGATCATTTACAGACGTTCTCGAAGTTTCTCGAAATCAATTTTATGGGTTGCCCCTGATGCAGTCTGGATCAAGATCCGGAAAGAAGAAATTCAGGAATGTTGTGAGAAGATTGCATTGGAGGCAAGCTGGGCATAATGTGGAAAAACTCAGAGCTGTGCTAGATGTAGCCGGTTGGAAGTGGATGTTGCTCTCTGTAGGAAATGACAGAGGGTCGGCCGGACATATTATAAGGAGGATGTGCCTGGCACAAACATATTTCACATAATCGCAAATGCGCTCATAGAAAGGTGGTATTTGGTTGTTGAAATCCTCTTGCCAGGGTGCTTTGATACTTCTGAAGCAGGGCGCATTTCAAAATTTCAAAAAAATATTTGCAGCCGATATTGCTCTTTGAAACAAGGGACTTACCATTCGCGTGTACGCTGATTTCCATTAAGTAGGTGGTAAACCATAAGCCCTATCCTCAGCAGCTTTTAAGGGTGCCTTTGTCCATTTGGAACCCATTGTATTTCAAAAATGGCCCCATCGAATACTTTTTCCAAGTACCGCAAGTAATTATTCATCGGCAATTCACCAATTTCAGCAACCAAGCCCTTTCTAAACGATTTCGGGGCCAAACGAAAGTCGTTTTGAACTATAATATCAGGTTTTCATACTTAATAAAACAGTACTGTAAAGTTCCAATTCAAGACCATCTTGAGGAATATGCTACGCATTGACATCCAGCTCGAAAGGCGGTTTCTGTCCCCTATCAGACAGGCTGACGCTCCTCTCTTCACCAAACATCTATTGTCTAACCACGATTCAAGTATAGGAACAAGGTATGCTTCCCCGAATGGTTTGCGGGGACGAAAGTCCCTTTAAATTTTTTGTTTTGAACGATACTGTTTCTTTATTTTCAATGCATGCTTACTTTAAGCTACACACATATATTAGGCCCTTTATCAGGACAATCCCAGTTGGGACTACAGAGAAAATTTAAAGGAACTTTCGTCCCCTAACCCTATTGGGCGAAGCATACCTTACGGCCCCGATCCATTCCATTTAGGTCGGTGAGCAATAAAAACACATCACACAGCAAACAGCTGCTATAAAGCATTCAGTTTTTCACCAATTTATATGAAAGCTGGTGAGCAAAGGCATGAGATAAGCCGTTTAGACAGAGCGAGCACCCGAAGTAAAGCGTGAATTACGATGTACCTGCCGTAGTCACGTACAATGCGCTTCGTATCAACGCGATTTCCGCAATGACAATCCTATGGGTTATGCTCACAATGAGGCTACCCCGCTCGGCAGCAATCCAGGAATACATGAGCGAAAACACTGCGCGCGCTCCTCGCGGGCTGAGAGGGGGTTATCCCCGGTGCCGCGCTAGACTAGGCGCGAGGCCACTCTGGCGTGCGTGCCATCCTCCACCTCCTACATGAACGGCGCTCAGTATAGTTGGCGGGTTGGCTCGACATATTCTCTCTCCTTTGAGAGAGCGCAGAGAAAACGAATAGTGGGAGGCGAGCACGCACTTTGCGCGTCAATGCGTCGCGCATTGTACGTGACTACAGCAGAACATTATAATTCACGCTTTACTTTCGGGTGCTCGCTCTGTCTAAACGGCTTAAGTCCGAAGGCATTCTGACACGCTGACTCCGACAACAGCACACATCTTCAATGTGAACTTCTCTGAAATTCGATATGGCAATTTTGAGAGGTGGTTATAGATGTGAGGTCTATAGTTATAATGTGCATTGCACTGTAAATGCGCACGCTGGCTCATCGTGGAGATCACCTTTCAATTTTGTCTAACTCCACCCAGCCTTTCATTTCCGACGATGGAGAATAAATTATACACCCTGTGCTTCTTGAGAAAACTAGCTCTGATGTCATCTCGTTTTGCGGACCCAATTAATTAGCAGCAGGTAAGAAATATAGCAAAAACTCACGGAATATAAGTAAGGCGGTGATCAATAAATTAAGCACAACACGGAAATTTATCAAATGCAGAGATACCATTCTTGGTCTGAATTTAATAAGATTAGATTTATGAGATATTCATTTTCACTCTTTCTTTTTACTTCATCTCAACCAATCAGAGTAACTCGAGCACTTCACTAGAATATTCCGTTATAAGCTACTCTGACAAGGAGGGTCTTTCAGGACATGGAGCGATTTTTTCAAAATGGTTTCCTGAATGTTATAGAGGCTCATGTGTAGAACACTGGTCCATTTTCCTGAACGCCCCCAGGAATGTCAAAACAGCGGGGAAGAAATGGTCCAAAGTTCGATCCTCCGTGATGACAAATTTTTGCAATTTATGTTGGCGCCTCCAAATTGCCGCAAAACACGACAATGACATCTATTCTCGACGATGGCGCCATTTGGCGGCAATCTGGGGGCGCCAAACTATATTGCAAAAATTAGTCATCACCGGGGATCGAACTCTGGACCATTTCTTCACCACTGTTTTGACATTCCTGGAGGCGTTCAGGAAAAATGGATCATGGTTCTGTGTTCCTCGCATGAGCCCCTACAACATGCAGAAAACCATTTCGAAAAAGCGCTCCATGTCCTGAAAGACCTCCCTTGTAAGTAGTAAGCTGCAAGAATTACGTTCGAATTGACTATTATTGCTCAGCATACTCACCTGAACCCATAAGCGACAATGATTTGGCCCCAAAAATACAGCGCAATAGCAATGAAGAACATAAATGCACCAACGTTATGTGTTGCTAGCTGTGGCCCTTCCTGAAATAGCTATCGTACGAAACACTTCCATTTGAAAGACAGCAGTGGTGTGTGGTAGGAATGAAGAAAAAATCATGAGAAAAAGCCCAGAACAGGAGTTGTAATCCTTCTTTGCCTGTCGATTTCCCCATTGATGTGACACGACACTCATCGGTGCTGGCCTTTTCAACGCTAGGCTGTCGCCCTTTCTAAAAAACGACCAGAGCCAAAATAAATTCATAACTCGATTACTAGGAAGCACATGCAGCAGAAAGAAATCGGTGTGAGTGAGCAATATCTGGAGAGTCCCCAACATATCTGAATCCCGCGCATAGTGGGCGGAGTGTGTCCTTGAAGGTGGAAATTACGATGAGAAAAGAAGTCAGTGCAGTAGTGGTCAGAGATGTAGAGTTGAAGAAAAACCATTACAGACGGCCTAGAACCCAAGAAATGGGGCTCCATCCTTCCTACTGAATTCCGCGTTTGCGACTCTCATCGAGAGCGCCCTCTTCAATGAAAATGCTCTCTCTCCACTGCTTAACGGCCAGAGTCATACGGTGAGGCGGTGGGCGGGCAGCGGCGCGAGCGGTGCGAGTATGGCGCTGCTAAGTCTCGGGGGTGTGCTGTTTGCTGCCTAACGCGTCCTGCACCCTCAGGTGACTCGCCTCCCTTTCTATTAGGTAATGTCCCTTTTCCGACCTCCAACCTTATCGCGGAATTCTTTAATTCCAAAATTCTTCCATAGTATCCCTTACTTCGCTGTAATAAAATTTTGTGCTGCATGTCTCATAATGACAAGATTGAAACTCAACTCAAGCACTCATTGACAATGGAAAACAAAAACCCAGTTCTCCCTACTGAGCACTTGCTGTTCACTGCCGCCTCTGGCGATAATTTTATAAATTGAAATAAGTCGAATATCGAGAATCTAGTGAAATGTAACAGGTATCGGTCATTTAGAATATTTTCTCTTGTACAGAAAAGATCTTTGGAAAATCACCTGAAAATTAGATACTATTGATATTCCAAGGGCAGCGACAAATCCGAGAACCATAAGAATTCTAGAGAATATTTTCCATCTTTCTATATTGTTCTCATAATCTCTCGCGTGGAAAGCCATCGTATGTCGATCCATCAGGAATGCTGTCACCGCCCCTGCAAACAAGCTACGTTGAAGCTTCAAAAGAAACCATAGAATATAAAGAGCCACTAGCAAAAATAGGCGGGAAATTTTTGCTCAACCCAATGACGGAATGGCTTCACTTTTTTCGGTTACAGTCTTTCATAATAGGAACTTCATATATCCCTTTTCTGTTATTCTTACTCACCTCACCGCAAACATTTTGTTTCTTCTCTGATGAGAGTTTCTCGCAAGCCTTGTCTGATAGCTTGTCTAAGGAATTGTTCGCATACTACGAAAATACTACATCACGCCTCGTCTTTTTTATGATTTCACCGCAAAGATAAGACACGCGCGCTCAATAAACCACTGCGCGTCCGTGAACCTTCCCTAGGTTAGGGTTGTTTTCAGTTTCCATTCCGAAATGTAGTGACTTTGAAACCTTCGGATTAGCCTTGCTTGGCGCCTATTAAACCCAATTTCGCATTTTTATAGTTTTTTGTTTTGTTTCCGCCATGACGCAAGTGCATGGCGCAATCCAGGATGGACCTCTTTCGAAGTTTGAAGGCAAGCGCTCATGGGAACCGATGGGCTGACTTCAACGGATCAACTTCGTCTTCGGATTTAAAAAAAAAACCTTACATCAAACAAAAAAAAACGAAGAAACGCAAAATCGAGTTTTCCGCGCGAATACGAAGTTTCACGACAGGTTACATGGGGAAGTGTCTCAGCTCTCTTAGAAACACAGGCCATGCGTGTTGTATAACCACACTACGATTCCTTTTCCCATTTCTCCGTAACAATCAAAGCTATCGAAAATTGGAACATAGCCTTTTATTGTTAATTGCCAGCTATCACTGGTGAAAAAAAGAACAATCAGATTCATGGCGAGAACGAAATTCCGACAACGCTTATCTTATCATGGGCAAGCTGATACAATAAGAACGTGGGAAAAATTATCTGTCACTCGTCCCAAGAAACACGTCATCTAGGTCAATTACCGTGACGGGATTTCATGACTCGGTGACGGATAGGACTTGTAGGCGATTTTAATTGCACACAAGCGATAGCGTACCGATACTCCGATAAGCGGAGCACAACAATGAAGGAGAAAGTGGCGGAAAAAGGCGAGAACAATAAGGAAAACGGAACATATTGTGTACGACCTTGTAGTTTGCCCAGAAACTGGACCTGAGTTGGACAGGACCTAAATCGTGTTCTCTTAAAGTACGAAGCTTTACGTCGTGCACGTTTGTCACGGACGAGCTCTTGTTATTTCGTGTACTGCGCCCACGTTTCTTTACCATCTTCTGGATTTGTTGAATTCTATGAGTCCCAACTACTAAGCCCATTCCTTCA